GCTCCCCAGCAGGACCTGCGGGTGTCGGGGATGGCAGAGGGAGGATGGGGGGTCTGCAGGCTCCGAGGCCCCGTCTGTGAACGCAGAGACTGACCACCCTGTGTCTGACCATGCTGTATTTTCAGCTCGTCATCATGGCTGGAACTGTTCTGCTCGCCTACTACTTCGAGTGCACCGATACTTTCCAGGTGCATATCCAAGGCTTCTTCTGTCAGGACGGCAATTTGATGAAACCGTATCCTGGGACGGAGGACGAGAGCTTCGTTTCTCCCCTTGTGCTCTACTGTGTGCTGGCTTCAACCCCAACAGCTATTGTAAGTATAAGGAATCATTTCAGTTCTCCAGGACTGCTCCGTGAACCATAACAATAGTCCTGTAATACCCTTGTCTCCTCTCTTTCCAGCTGTAATTGATTTACAATTAGCCAGGTCTCTATTTTGCCTTAGCCTAATGTATTCCTCATCAGTTATCTCCAGAAGTAATTATTCTGAGGTAATCACAATGCAAGGCAGGGAGGGAGAGCTTGTTAAGCCTTCCACAATAGCTGGCTCACTGATTAGCTGTGAATTGCCTGGGCTGCAGAGAAGCTCCAGTGGAAAGGTGATACATTACTGGAAATAAGAAAACAGGATAAAGCTGAAGTAAAACCTGGATCAGACATGCAGTGCGTCCAGGATAATTTGCTGCTACATTAAAAGGACTTTTAAAGGGATTTAAAAGGCTTAGATGAGTAGAGAGAGGCTCAACACAAAGAAAAGTATGAATGCTATTTCCTTTTTGTTTAAAGTATTTATTTTTGGCTAATTTTTATTTTCCTGATTTTCTTTGCTATCCAGACAGTAAGCTGCAGTGTATTTTTTGAGTAGATGAAAATATTAAATTTGCTGAGAACATACAATTCCAAGCAGATTCCTGCAGTCACTGATTAGCAAAACCTTGGCCCTTTTCCATTTTCTTTGCAGAAAGTTGCAAATTTTACAAATAGCCAGCTTCAGTGCACTAGTGACTACATTGACAAATTCTTACTGAACTGTATCTTTATGTGCTCTGTTGCTTTATTTCTTTATCTTTAGTATTTATTTCTTACATTAACTTTGCTTTGCATCCCTTCTGAAAGCTGAATAAGCTGCACTTTATATATTTACTTGTGAAAGGTGAATGCTGCGTCATGGGTCTATTTTAATTTTTGGTCTGATGTAATTTTAATGCATGAAAATGTGACACAGAGTGATGAGAAATGTGAAAGAGATCAGCAGACGAGGCTACTGGTTTTGGTACAGACCGCCCTCTGAAAATGAGTAGGAGTTTTGAATTGGATTACATCTTGAATTTATGAAAATCCTCTGTGGGAACAGTGTTATTTTCTGTGCTGAAGCTCAGATGAATGTTAAGACTTATATTTTACTTTGTGCTGCAGTGTCAGATAATTTGCAAAGGAAAACATGAAGACATTTCTCCAGCTTCCCCCAGATAAAAGTAATTACGTTGTTTGGGGAAATAACTTCCATAGGCAGTGTTTGTAGGGCCTTGAGGCCATGACAGTGGGTTTAGGGGGAAGTTTGTCCCTCGATTCAGTGATATGGCAATGGAGGGGGGTGCAAGTGTTGGTAAGAATGTTCCTCTTTGGGTCTTCTGTTTAAATCCTTGCTCTGGAGAAGTCTGCTGCAAACCCTTCAGGTTTTGCTGCCCTGGAACAGCATTTCTTTCACTGGGCCAAGAGGTTTTCCCTAGTTACTCTTATTTATGAAAAGCTGGATTGAGGGTCTTCTTCAAGAGATGAACAGTGCCTGTTTTGTAGTTTCCTTCCATAGGCCACATTAAACACAAGGAATGAAAGGCTGTGCTGAATGTCAATGTTTCTGGGTACAAACACCTTCAGTTTAGTGTTGGGTGGGTCTGCTGTGACTGTCTCATACAATGCAAGCTGTGCAGAGAAGGGTCCAGAAGCACAGTAATCCCCCTGGATGGTGGGATCCAGTGCTGGATATGAACTAGCAAACTCTGCTTCTTGGGTTGTAATGTGCTGTTAGGCTACCTGTGCTGCTGCTGCTGCTGCATCTAGAGAAGATGCTGCCAGGGACAGGACAGGGCTCTTTGCACCAGGCTGCTTTGGGATCTCTGCATACAACCTCAAACAGACAATGACCAAACTTGGGAAACCTTTTTCCTTCCATTTTTAATTTAGTATGTATTAATACATTATTTAATGCTTTATTTTAATTATTTGTATGATTGTATTGTATTATTAAGATATTTGTTAATTATTTAATGTATTATTAATATGTTGTCTAATTCTTTAACTTATTATTAATGGTTTGTTTAATTATTTAAGGTATTCGTTTTGGACTGACCTTCAGCTAGGGCATATGGCAGAGGGATCCTTTTCTGTCCTCCTGACTGGTGCACAGACCAGTATTATTATATGAGTAATTTCACTCACTGTGTTTCTCCTTCCCATCTTTTCCTGAGAGACTTTCCTCTCCTTGCAGGCTAATTTCAGACTTCTGCTTCAGCTAGCAGCTGACTGCCAACTGAGTTTTGGCAACAATCATTTATAGAAAAGTAGTAAATGAGACATAAAGTGATCCCAGAGACTCCCTAACCTCAGCCCTAGTGCTGCTGGTCAGACCACTCGGAATGTGAGCATCTTCAGTGTCATCTGGTACCCAAATGGGTGTTGCCTGTCACTTGGACTGTCACAGTCTGGGAAGAGATGTTTGATCCACTTGCTTCTCCCAGGGATTTCAGTGGAAGGAGCGAGTGCAGCCGTGCCTATTTATACTATGCTGATTGTACTCTCAAAAAAAACCCAAAACAAACAAACAACCCAAGGAAACCTCCCACAAAGAAAAGAACCCACACAGCTGTGCTTGGTGAGAAGGAGCTTTGTGTGCAGTCACTGTGGGTGAAGCTGTAGCTTCACTCTCTACCCTTTGCTCTCTGCAATAATCGCTCACATCCTGCAGCTCCACAGTGAGGAAATCACTGAAGTCAAAGGTGACTCCAGACCCTCCTTACAATTCATTCTTCTCCTCTGCAAAACGCTTGTTGCTTCTCTTCCTGGCAACAAATTGGTTAGCTTGGATAACAGGATGTACATCAGCAAATCTGATCTCTGTGCTGCCTGCATATGACAGACACATTGTGGCATGAGAGGAGTGATTGTTAAAAGGGCTGGAACCCAGCAGCAAGGAGGGAGAGCCCGTGGTCCCAGTTGGAAGTGCTTCTGGAGCTATGGAAAACAGTCTAGGAGACAGCACAAGCTCCCTCATTGAGGCACAAGCAGTTTTTAAGCGCAGTTCTGTGTGCAAAGGTCTGGGGAGGACTCAGCCCTGATAGCTGCGAGGTGTTTTCATGCTTGCAAGCCAAAAAGGAGCATCTTTGTAAGTTTAATGGAACATCTTTTTGTCTCAGTTATTTGGCCATGGGTAAACAAATGCATTTATTTTATTTCTTCCGTGACAACACTTTTTTGAAGTGCTGTTGTGGTTTGGAACCACTGTATGTGCATTTCTGTGCACTTTTAGTAGCAAAATAAATTAAACCTGCCTGGTTTTCTGCAGTTTTATTTGTTGTTATTCAAACGTGATGCCTCTGACCCCGTTTAGCCATTTTTTTTCTGCTGCACTGGATAGTTAATGATCATAATTCAGAATTACAAAAGTCTCTTAATGCTCCTACTGATAACCTCTTTGTCTCTGATAATGAGTGTTTCTTGTGAGGGGAATCTCATGACAACACTTGTAAATAAATGAAAACCATGTATGCCTGACTCCATTCTGTGAAATGCTTTTTTCTCCCACCTGTTCCATTGAGGATAGGTCAAAGGCTTTCATCTACCTTATCAATTTTTTATTTTCCAAGTGTGGTGGTATTAGCATCTTTACAGCAAAGTAGTTGAGTATTATTAATTTAATACTAAATTGCACCTACATAAGGAAATAAATGTTTTTCTTTGTAAAGACACAACTGGCCATTTTATTTTGGATTTACTGATTTATCCCCTGAAATGTATACTTTCAGACTCAAGGAATACATTTTGCTGTCAGCACAGCAGTAGAAAAAGGGAATGCCTGGAATTCTGTCTGGTTTGGATTGAACTTGTATTTATCTGTAGGTCCTGGTGCCACAAAGAGCTTCAAAGGATGCTTATGGTTTCATCTTCACCTTATGCCAGTTGTTTCTGATGCCTTTCTCCTTTGCCTCTCAGAGACTTTCCCCTTCTTTAGGGCTGATTTCAGTTGTACTGACATAATTGGCAGTTGGTTATTGAAGAGCTGCTACATTTCCAGCATTCCTGTTGTCATGATGAGACAGGTGTAAGAATGCTTTCAGCCTGTCTCATGGTAGAAGGAGAAGCTGTGTTTAAATCATTTTAATTTTTGCAGACAGTAATGTGCCATCCCTGACAGCCAGGGCAAGCACCTGGTTAAGATGTTTGTCTCTGTGACGCTGCAAGGATAGCACAGGACTTCTGTCTTTGCCTCCACTGCATTTCAAGGGATCAAAGGTTTCCAACTTTCCCAAAACTTTATTTGTCCTGGCCTTCAGGTGATCTACAGTAGCACAGTCTGCATATTTGTATAACTGCACGTCTGTATAACAGAGCTTTAGACAAATAACCCCTCATCTTGCTGGTTGTAGATACTTCAGGAAGGGTACAATTAGCCAGAGAATAATTGTATATTTATTTATTTTTATTTTCTGACTTGGAGTCTTAGAATGCAAACATATATCTGGAGGTATTTAATTCAGCTGGTTTTCCAGTGATCTGTACACATCAGGGTTTAACACTGGGCCAGCAATTAAATTGATGCACTCTATTATCAGATGCTCTCTATTGAACTGTCTCCCTCCCTCTGCAGGGAAGGAAGACGGAACAAAGGATAGAGACTTGAAGGTTGGAAACTACACAGTTTTAATGAAACAGTAGTGATGAAAAGGAAAGCAAAGATGTACTTACAAATATAGAATCACAGAACTATTCAGGTTGGAAAAGACTCTTGGGATCACTGAGTCCAACCATCATCCCTACTCCACAAAGTTCTCCCCAATACATAAAAATAGATTTTAAAAATACTGTCACACACAACCCTCCAGTAATGCTCACATTACCACTGAGGCTGCAGGGCAGGCCCTGGAGAAGTCCTGGACTCAAAGGCTGGAGTTGGTGACAGATGGGAGCTGGGTGCAGGAATGTGGGGGTTCAGGAGCACACAGATCAGGACAAAGGCAGATGAACAGATGGAATTCTCCCAGGCCACCAGCCATGGACAAACAGAGCTTGACCCTTGTGATGTCTCAGATTTATACC